TATATAAAAGGATGTCACATAGAGGAGGGAGAAAGGTTGTTTTCTGCTGCTCCAGAGAAGCGGACACGGAGCAATGGATCCAAACTACAAGAAAGAAGATTCCACCTAAACATTAGGAAGAACTTCCTGACAGTAAGAGCTGTTCGACAGTGGAATTTGCTGCCAAGGAGTGTGGTGGAGTCTCCTTCTTTGGAGGTCTTTAAGCAGAGGCTTGACAACCATATGTCAGGAGTGCTCTGATGGTGTTTCCTGCTTGGCAGGGGGTTGGACTCGATGGCCCTTGTGGTCTCTTCCAACTCTATGATTCTATGATTCTGTGATTCTGGGTACAGACTTGTGTGTGTGTGCGCGTGTGTGTGTGTGTGTGTGTCTGTCTGTCTGTCTGTCTGTCTGTCTGTGTAAGAAGTGTAAATGTGATTCTTGGGATAGCCTAACTGACAAAGCACGGCCCCAGCAAGAACACCTAGAAACACTGTGCAGCTTCCAAGACCCAATGTCCTGGCAGGAGCCACCAGCATTCAAACCTACCCATCTACTCCACCCACTCATCTTGTCTTTTGGCTTGGTCTCAGGGTTTACCAGGGATGCAGGTGGCGCTGTGGGTTAAACCACAGAGCCTAGGACTTACCGATCAGCAGGTCGGCGGTTCGAATCCCCGCGACGGGGTGAGCTCCTGTTGCTCGGTCCCTGCTCCTGCCAACCTAGCAGTTCGAAACCACGTCAAGTGCAAGTAAATAAATAGGTACCGCTCCAGCGGGAAGGTAAACGGCGTTTCCATGCGCTGCTCTGGTTCGCCAGAAGCGGCTTAGTCATGCTGGCCACATAACCAACTGTACGCCGGCTCCCTTGGCCAATAAAGCGAGATGAGTGCCGCAACCCCAGAGTTGCTCACAACTGGACCTAATGGTCAGGGGTCCCTTTATCTTTTACCAGAGTTTACTATTTTAAACCTCTGCAAGATGCACCATAGTGCCTGCTGTAGCATTGCTCTGGAGCACTATAGAAAATTAAAAATGGCAGGGAGAAGCCCATGATAGAAGTGAGCCATTGATGTAGGAGGGGACCAAATGTTGTGAACTGCCCTGAGACTTGTGGATGAAGAGCAGTATAAAACTTTAATTAATTGAAGTTATTTAACTGATTGCACTTTTCTGAGGACCTTTTCAACTTCTGAGCGGACTCTTCCCAAACAGTGGCTCTCCATAGTTTCACCAAAGATGGATCTTTTTCAACCCTTCCTGGAGGTTAAACCTGGATGAAAAGCAGATTCTCCTTCCCTGCTATGCGAACACCTTATTCAAGGCAAATTCATTCCTCTTTTCCCCCCTTTATAGATCTTCTTACTGAATGGATTTGCCTCCTCGACTTCTCTCCTACTCTCCTGCATTTTATCTTCGCATATTAGACATCCCCAAAGCACTCATTACTATAACATATAGGATTTCACTAGAAACATGATGGCTTGTAGTAAGCACTTGAACAGCTCATAACCAAATTCGGAGCTGAGCTGATTGAATACAATTTGTTTAAAATCCATGAACTTGTCATCTGAGCAGCAGATCTGTTAAATCAATATCTTTTAAAGAAATATTCACCAGGAGCTTCTTTTTACAGATCCCTCTCTGTCTGATTAACTTGTGTGCTACATTCCAGAAGTCATTACAATTCCAGTTGTCTGAAGCAGAAAGATTCAAAGCCCCAAAGACCGCTTGGTGACAAAGCTTCTTACCAAGCCATCTTCTTCTATAGCTGTTTATTCATACCTCCATCTCATTGTTCTCAGAACTATTATTGGCATGCAATGAACGCAACACTACCACGAGAACCAGACTTGATGTGAGGCTAAATCAGGGGTGGGGGAATCTGTGACTCTCCAGATGTTAGTGAGCTCCAACTCCCATCAGCTCCAGCCAGCATGGTCAAGGATTGTGGGAATTGCAGGGCCCTTCCAGACTGTCACTATAATAGTAATGATAATAATAATAATAATAGTTATTATTATTATTATTATTATTATTATTATTATTATTATTTTATTTAGACTCCGCCCATCTGGCTGGGTTTCCCCAGCCACTCTGGGCAGCCTACAGCACATCTAAAAACATATTTAAAACACCAAGCCTTAAAAACTTCCACAAACAGCTATGCCATCAGAAGTGGGTAGGATTTAGTGGCAGACTGGCAAGTTTAAGTTGCAACAATTACCATAGCTGTCAACTTACAGATTTGAAAATAAGGGATCAGCAGCCTTGAAAATAAGGGACCAACAGCCAAAATAAGGGACCTGCAGCCTCACCTGTTCCAGGCACTCCAGTCTTCCTGTCCTCCTGCAGTCTGGTCAAACTCATGTTGGTAGCTTCGAGAACACTGTCCAACCAACTTTGTAACCAGAGGTTCAACTGAATAGAATCTGAATCACATGCACCACAAGGCCTAAGCAGCCTCAACTTAAGATGGCTCCCCGGCCTGGCTTTGCACTGCAAAGTTTGCAGCAGCACGTGCAACAAAATGGCGTCCAGCATTCAAAAACCCCCTCAGCTTGCATTAACTAGCCACACACACACAGCCTCCCCCCCTCCCACGAGATCTCCTTTCCTTTTCCCCCACCATGTGCCCCCGCTCCAGACAGACCTTTTCGCCGGCAAGGGTGAGTGGGCCGTCGATGACGTATCCATCCGATTCCGATTCCGATCCGAGCACTCAGCACAGGTATGTTCAACTTCTGAGCCCCTCTGAGCCAAAGGCAGAAAGCCCAGCCAGCAGCCAAACGAAGCCTCAAGGAAAACCACCGTCACCTCTCTGCTGGGAAGCGCTGAGCAAAGGCGAGTCCCCACGCAACGCAGCCGATTTGACCGGCACAAGGCATGCAAGCTCCACCCCCCAGTCGTTCTTAGACTTCTTATTGGGTGAGCAACACAGCCAAGCAACGCAGTTGGAGCCTCCCTCTTCCCTGGCCGGCAGGAACGGAGGGAGAGGAGCTGCTTCCTTTGAAATTTAAGGGACATCATTTAAGGGACATTTAAGGGACATCCATCAATAAGGGACAGCAGCAGGACATGGCGCTGGAATAAGGGACTGTCCCTTCAAATAAGGGACACTTGACAGCTATGACAATTACACTGGATTTGAAGCTCTTGTCCACATTAAAAACCCACATTAAAAATAAACAAACCAGACTTTTGTGGTATTGAAAGTGATGGGAAAATGCAACTGAAAGCAAAGCCTAACAATTGCTCGGTCCAACATTTTATCACCTCTCTGCAAACAATTTGGAATGAATGCTCACTACAATGTTGTATAACCTCCCCACAAATCTCGTGCAATCAGTATGAACACATCATACACAAGTAGTATAGAAACGGTCGTTGGGAAGACCTGTTGAAATTTTAGGCTCGCTAACGCCAATGGGTCTGCTCTGAGAAGAATTTAATTGGCTTCGACCCATATTCCACGACATGCATGGTTGCAGATGGAAAAACAATTTAGTTCTCCTCTCTGCGACATCTAACACAAATTTGTAATGACCCAACTGTTGGAGAAGGAGGTCGTATTTTGATGGTAGCTCGCGTGCATTGTAGGCAGCTGGTTTGGACGCAGTCCCTGGCATCATCTGTTAAACTTATTTGGTAGCTGGTGGTGGGAAAGATCTCTCTCTGAGATCAGCTGATCTTTCTGGGTTCTAAATTACACAAGGAGCTTTGAATATAAGAGGTTGCCTGCTTCAGAAGTTCGCCCTCCAACCTATGAAGGGTAGCAACAACACAGGAGGCGTTGACCAGGCTTTTCTCCTCTCCCAACATGATGCTACTTACATGGGGGTGTTATGCCACCTGAAGAAGACCTTACAGGATTAGGGGTAATGCCAATCAATGCATTAATTATTTAATAATAATAATAATAATTTTGCTGCTGTCTTATGAAGTATGGGACTGTGAATCACAGAGCTAAATTACTAAATCACTAGTTTCCAAACTATGTGTTACAGCAGAATAGAATGCCATGAGAAGAACTGAAGTTTTACTCAAAATTTAAGCCATCGTTTTGATTGCATCCACCATTCTATGCTCCTTAGAATGGGAAGGCTGCTATGGCATTGATCTCTCTCTCCACACCTCTCTCTCTGTCAATGTGACATCATCCTTAGGGAGGAGGTAAGGAAGCAATGAGATTTCTTGAGCAGAACATGCCATAGTTGAGAGGCAGGGAGGAATTCCAAAAGCATGACAGTTGCCTAGAAAACACAAAACACTCCCTGAGCTGAATGCTCAGATGGAAGGATATATGGGCTATTCTGTAGCTGCAAAGACCATGCCTGCCTAGAAGATGACTGAGAGAATACACACCTATATTTTCAAGTATAAAATATGCCTTCAGTTTTAAGCCAGGAATATGCCGTCCCAGATACAAAAGGTTTGGGGGACATGAAACTGAGGAATGCAGGATTAGCAGGCTCACAGATCTAGCAGTAGTAGTGATAGTTGGACTTATCAAATTATCCTCACCACCACCACTACAGTGGTACCTCGGGTTACATACGCTTCAGGTTACATACACTTCAGGTTACAGACTCCGCTAACAGAGAAATAGTGCTTCAGGTTAAGAATTTTGCTTCAGGATGAGAACAGAAATCGTGCTCCGGTGGCGCAGCAGCAGGAGGAGGCCCCATTAGCTAAAGTGATGCTTCAGGTTAAGAACAGTTTCAGGTTAAGTATGGACCTCCGGAATGAATTAAGTACTTAACCCGAGGTACCACTGTATCTGCGTTTAACACTTTAAGGAGGTTTACGAGCGACAATAAATAGTCTAGTTTGGGAACACTCAGTGAATCTATGGGTGTGTTCAGAGTCAGTGCAAAAAGAGATTGTGCAGGGATGTCACTGTTAGAATTCCTTTCTAGGAATATATAAAAGTTATAGAATCATAGAATCATAGAATTGTAGAGTTGGAAGGGACCCTGAGGATAATCTAGTCCAGCCCTCTGCAATGCAGGAATATGCAGCTGTCCCATACAGGGATCGAACCTGCAACCTTGGCGTTATCAGCCCCATTCTCTAACCAGCTGAATGGGAGAGAGAAAAATGGAACCAAAACGATCTACTAAAATCCTCTCTCATTTGTCCCTTTCACTCTCTAAGAGGGAATTCTCAGACTAATAGTGCAATCTGACGCATACCTACTCAGAAGTAAGTCCCATTGAGTTCAAGAGGGCTTACTCCTGGGTAAATAGGTGTAGGATTGCTGCCTTAGTCGCTTAAATCTGGCAGCACAACTTGTACGGTCCTGAGCTGAGGAGGCATTTCATACTTGATTTAGCCCAAATATACAAAATTGGCAAGCGTGCCTGTCCATTTCCAAACTCGCTGCAGAGAATAAATTAGGCAATTCTGATTCCTCTTATCAAATACAACATAACCGGAACACTCAGAGTGCACTGGAGTCTTTCAGAACGGCTTTGGTTCTGCTCCGCACTATTGAAGTCGGTGACAGCCTTGCCAGTAACATATGAGAGCAAAGGATTAGGGGAGAGGAGAGGATCTTAAGGAGAAGGCTGTCTGCAGCAGTCATGCTTGCATCCCCTATGGACGAAATTTTCATATAAGCTGTGCATGCTGGGTAAATTACATCACAGCAGCTCTTCATTGAAGAACATGCTGCTCAGTCAGGAAAGATCAGGGGAATGGACCTAGCCCAGGGCTAGAGCAAGGGCTCCTATGAGCATCAACAAACACGGACAACGTTCAGGATAATGGGAGTTGCAGTCCAGTCACTTAAACAATTAGCACGCTTATCCAATAAGGCTTGCCCAGTGTTTCCTGTTTGAATGCCCCTACAACAAGACAACAACAAAAACAAAAACAGCCTCCCTGTATTCAGAAAACTAGCAGGTCAGGGAGCCTAGCTTTCTCTCTGACATCGTTTGTTTTCCAGGCAAGGATTTCCCCTCCTCTTACAGGAGCATTGCCAATAAGCAGCCTTCCATCTGGAGCCCAAAGAAGACTAACCAAAAAAATCTACTTAATATATAAACATTCATTAAAATATTCGCATTGCACAAGTTGCTACGGAATACCTGCATTAATTTTAAATAAATTTGAATGGTGCATGGTTCTATGCATGGTAAAAGATTGCAAGTGATACATTAGTCACTGCCATTCAGATCCTTCCCGTTTTTTATCCATTGGTTTCTTGCAGATCGCCCGTTTAAGAACATAAGGAGAGTTCTGCTGGATAAGCATCCTGTTTTCACAGTGGCCAGAGACAGATGCCTTTGGGAATCTTGAAAGCAGGACCTGAGCAAACAGTTCTCTCCCCTCTTGTGATTCCCAGCAACTAGCATTTGGAGGCAGACTGCCTGATGAAACGTTAAAGAACAGTCTCATTATGATACACAGCATTCAGCTCCGTCACATGCAAATTCGGATCTAAACACAAAACTCAAAGACTGTCCTGCTGATTAAATTTTTGCCATTTATTATTTGCCAGTTACCATCACAAAAGTTTTTTCCCCCCTTCTTCTTCTCTTGCCAAGAGGTGAGCAAGTGGCTCCCTCTGGTGCCAAAACCTCTAGCAACTTCATTGAATTTATTCTCTCGGTTTCCTACTTAAATGGAAGCAGCATATAGACAGAATCAGGACCACGGATCAAGCTGGGAAATGCAATTATGAGCTGGCAATGCTGTCTATTTTCCAGAGCTGTAAAAACTGCAAAGGAAGGCAGCCCATTGTATACGCATCCAATTACTGGCATTGCTTTCACATTATCGGGATATATATTTTTTTTTAAAAAAAGCATTTAAACATTTATAACTGTGCTGATGAGAAAGAGGGCACTTCCTTACAGCAGCTGATTGTGGACTTGATGTTCCTCATGCATGCAGGTCTTGTGCAGCATTCATACAACACCATCTTCATAAAAATGCCTTCCCCCCTTCTCCCCCGCATTTCATTCCGATTCACTGTTTCCATGTTGCAGTTTTGACTTAGCAAATTTTCCATGGAAACAGTAAATCCAAACTGATGTCACATCCACTCTATATAAGGGCCGGCCCACCCAAGAGGCAAGGTGAGGCAAATGCCTCAGGCAGCAGGATCCACAGGGGCAGCAGATCCCAGTGTTGCTCTTTCTTCCCCTCTTGTTCCTGATGTAGATTTTACCTCACCCCTTGTTCCCTGGTGGGAAGAAGGGCACCATTTTGGGGTCTGCCTCAGGTATCAAAATATATTGGGCCAACCCTGTACATTTAAAGCACATATCTCTCCCCTATAATAATCCTGGAGAACTGTAGCTAAATACATACTAAATGTAGATAGGACCAGAATGAGGAAATACTACGAGACAGTGCAAAACTTGAGAGAATGAGTAACATCAAGGTTACATCCACACCATACATCGCAAGAACTCTTGTACCACTTTAAGAGTCATGGCTTGACCCAAAGAATCTTGGGAACTGTAGTTTGTTAGGTCCTGGGAATTTTAGCTCTGTGAGGAGTCTCCTGACAACTCTCAACACTTTTAACAAACTAAAGTTCCCAGTGTTATTGGGTGGTAGGGAGAAAGACATGGTTCTTAAAGTGGTAAAGGTAAAGGTAAAGGGACCCCTGACCATTAGGTCCAGTTGTGACTGACTCTGGGGTTGCGGTGCTCATCTTGCTTTATTGGCTGAGGTAGCCGGCGTACAGCTTCCGGGTCATGTGGCCAGCATGACTAAGCCGCTTCTGGCGAACCAGAGCAGTGCACGGAAACGCCGTTTACCTTCCTGCCGGAGCGGTACCTATTTATCTACTTGCACTTTGACGTGCTTTTGAACTGCTAGCTTGGCAGGAGCAGGGACCGAGCAAGAGGAGCTCACCCCGTCATGGGGATTTGAACTGCTGACCTTCCAATTGGCAAGCCCTAGGTTCTGTGGTTTAACCCACAGCGCCACCCACGTCACCCACTTGTACCAAGTGGTACAAGAGTACTATAAATGCATGAGTATGGATGTGACCGCAGTCCACAATGAACTTGCATGTGGAAGCCCCCAGAGAGAGGGATGGAGAGCGTTTCTGATGCAAAGCAGTGATGGATGACTGCTCAGTTCCAGTGTTATCACAGCAAAATTTGTAGTATTCACTGTGCGTGCCAGCTACTATGCATGTAAATATAAGGGGCTGCTTTTCACTGGAGCAATGTGCATGCTACAAAAAATGAACCCATTCCATACGTATCTGCCTTTATATATGAGGAGGCGTATACTGTGTTTTTAATACACAGAAGATATGCGTGAATCAACCCTCCGCAACAAATGTTTTTTATGCATTAAGGCTACATGTGAATCAACCCTCTAATCAATATAATAATATATAATATAGGAACAAGTATTAAAACTCCATCTCCTCTAGTTTATTAGATTACATGTTTATCTGCCCTCTTCTAAGTGAAATCAATGACGTTGTTAGGCACCACTTGCCGAATTTTCTGGATATGATGCCACACGCATGAATACGCCAGAGGTATGATAAAGTTTCACATTAAAACATTTGCGGAGGGGAAAGATTTATTATAATGAACATTAGAGTGCTGCGTTTGCCATAGCTCTGTGATGCCTGAAGGTCTGCCATCATTTAATTTGCAATTGTTGATTTGTCAATGGGATTTCAAAACAAATTACAGAACAGAAATTGACTGTGCAGTTCACCTAGTGGGAAAATGAACCGCTTTAGATACTGCTCTGCTCCACATACACACTCCAGAGTAAATTTAAGCACGCATTCCTACGATGTAAGAATGCTTAGAAATTTTTTAAAATGCAAGCACGAATGCTGGAACAACATAGAAAAGAGCTAGCAAGCTGCCTTATACTAAGTCAGGTCTAGCTAATGACTGTCATCTCTGATTGTCAGCGGCTCTCCAGGCAGAGGCATAGGAAGGTCAGGTGGTACCCAGTGCAGAAAATTTCTTGTCACCCCCCATTGATTTATTATTATTTTTTGCCTGCAAAAATAGTTTTACATTATTTCATATTTTCTTACAAAGAAATGTGGATTATGGGCCTCTGATAACAAGGAGGCAACTGTGGACAGATACTTAAATCTACAGGATGGATTGTGTTTTGGCTCCACTGAATTGAAATTTCAGCCTTCACAACATATGAAAATGGCCAAGGAAACAGTTATTTCTGTGGAGGAGGGTCAAGATATTAACTGATATGCATGAAATTTCAGATATAGATATATAATCCCTAATGTAGGAAGATAAGAGCTTTGGAGCAGGCATTTTCCAAAAAAGGTTTTTTATGAACCGCCCTAGTAGGGCAGTAATTGTTCCTTTTTGACACGCCCCTCCATGATGGAACCCAAGGCAGACCTCCCCCCCTTTCCTACGCCCCTGTCTCCAGGATTTCAAGGAGCATGCATTCTCAGCCCTACCCAGGCTCGACACCTGGGAACTTTTGCAGTCAAGCTATAGACCTTGAACAAAAGCTGCCACCCCATTGCTTTCTCCTGGACATGGGTATCCTCCAGGTTTGCAAAAAGCAAATTGCCTGGTCACATCTAGGGCGCAACCATTGCCAGCAGAGAGGAAACAGAGAGGCCTAGAACCAATGCAACATGCTGAATTTAGCAATATGGACGGAATCAGAAATTATCTGAAGTGGAACACATTAATTTCCTTTCTCAGGTGCCCAGTTGACATTCCCCCAAAATTGGACCCTGAATTGGGGTTTAGAGTGGATCACCAGTGTCACAGGCCCTGCTGTGACAATCCTTGGGAAACGTTCAACTGTCCCACTCCACACGTCTGATACAATGCACAAATTGGGTGAGGAGGGACCAGGCAGGATTCCAGCAAGCGTCACCACCAGTACTATGGAAATATTTGGCTGGATTGCGGCAGGTCAAGCGTTTGATTAAGAATGGGTGGGAAGAGGCAGATGCTAGGAATCTGTTTCTGACTCAGATATATCAGTTATGGAGATTGCCTCATGACACTTTGACAAGAGTGGCCCAGGTGATTGAGAAACTGATATAATGGTTTTAAAAAATTAGCATTTGAAAATATGTAAGTGGTAAGGTAAAGGTAAAGGTAC